TCACCGATATTGTTGAGATCCTTCCTCCTCCTGAAATGATCATGAAGGGGGATAGGTTTTTTTATGAATTCGACTGTGACATTGACGTACACCAATAGTTGTGAAAGTGACGTTCAGCGTTTTTTATTGCCTTACAAAAATAGTAGGGAAGGTCACGTTCAGCCTTTTTACTTACCTTACATTTAGTATTAATTTCCAGTGTATTTATTTTATTTCTATAATAAGTTGGTAACACGTTCCTACGAAAAATAATCCTACGACTAAGTCAGTCTTGTAGTCAGTTTTGTTTCGACGAAAATCAGCTTATTCAGTATTTATGTTAAAAATAAGGATTACATGGGGGGTAAAATAAACATAAATAAACAACAAAATAATGTTTTTGTTAATTTTTATTAAGTTTTTCACATTTCTTTGGCCTGAAACCTATATGTAGTGTCAGTTTCGTTACGTGATATTCATTTTCGTCACGCGCGGTCAGTTTCGTAACACATAATCAGTTTCGTAACTCCCAAGAAATGTATTTTTTCATGGATATTTTCGTACTTGATTTGACCAACTAATATTTATTTGTAATAATACAATATAATTACATACTTTAACACAGAAACAAGTGCCTGACAAATTTTTTATAGACTGAAACAACAAACTTTGTCTTGCATCCTTATACCATTGGAACGAATAAAATCTCAGACTTGATTTTTTTTTTGTGTGTGTAGCAACTCAGTAGAACTGTTTGTATTTCAAATATCAACCATGAGACTTAATTCATTTAAAAGTTATCTTTTTTCAAAAACTGAAATTTTTTGAAAAATTCAAATTTTGAGTCTCAATATCTTTGTTGGGACAAAGTTTAAAAATCTGAAATTTTTACCAAAAACCCCTCTTATGGTTGTTATACTGCTGTATGAATTTCATCTTTGAGATTTAGGCCTACTTTTAAGCTAAGTTACAGTATCATGAAAATCGCAAAAACCCCATAAGCTCGGCCAAAGCGGCTAGTACTGTAGGTAGCTTAAAAATTAATTTATAGGTCTAGGTAATTATTTTATTTAATGTAAACTTACTTAACTTACTTTAAAGTAATGTATAGCCTTTTCTTGCAAATTTCTTGTCTTTTATGTGAAATTAAAAAAAAACTTTTTATCAGATTATTTTCATTTAGGTTTACCGGTACACCTTTTTTTTCAATAGGCCTAAATATTTTGAACTAATTTATTAATTTATTGAACCACTTTCATTTTAATAAAGAATATTAGAAATTTTACATACAAAAGCTGTTTGAAAGACAAGTTCTTATACAACTTTTTTTACTTGTTAGTGTTTTTTGTTCTACTTTGGTCATGCTAATTAGGAAGTTTGGATGTTTCTTCATTCAGTTTGGGTTTGTCCTTCCAGTGGTTTTTGTCAGTTAAAAGAGATTTAATTTTCTCAAAACTTTGTTATTGTTTATAGGCACCCAAGCTTGGTCTTTCTAATTTGTTTTAAAGGCGGTTGGTTGTTGGTCCTGCTGGATCTTTATTTTGATAACTGATGTCAATCACCTCTGCCACCCACCACTGTCATACACAAATGCAATAGAGTCTTTGGTATGAAGTGTAATTTTTACAGCTTTCAGTTGCTAGTGAGGTTACGAAGCACCTAACATTACTACTGTCCGGTACAGGAATAAAACAATGGAAGCTTCTTGTTCCAGTAATCTTTAAATAGTTCTCAAATCGGTCCAGGAGTTTGTTGTTGAGGTGTTGAGTGATTTCTTCATCTGTTATAAAAATGAATTATTTTGTTAAGAAAAACTGTGTTTTGTGACTCATTTACGACTTCCTGTAGGTACTGGAGACTGTATCAGTTCCCACTGAATATGAGTTATTTTTTTTCAAAATACCACAATAAACACTTATTGATTTGTGTTATACAGGTTACGGTACATTAAATCTAAATGGAAAATAAATTTTAAGACCTCAATATAAATAGAATTAACTAAGTTTTATTTAAGTTAAATGATAAATAAAACTTAAAATTTAGCAGGATTTTCTTTATTTTTAGTACCGTAGCGGTACATATAGGCCTAATTTGTACTTTGGGTAACTTACAAAGTTTAAGTTAAAAATCTGTTTTGGATTTTTGAAATGAACATTAAGATAAGTTTACATTAAATAAAATAATTACCTACACCTATAAATTAATCTTTAAGCTACCTACAGTACTAGCCACGTTGGCCGAGCTTATGGGTTTTTTGTGATTTTCATGATACTGTAACTTAGCTTAAAAGTAAATCTCAAAGATGAAATTCATACAGCAGTAGCCTATAACAACCATAAGAGGGGTTTTTGGTAAAAATTTCAGATTTTTACACTTTGTCCCAACAAAGATATTGAGACTAAAAATTTGAATTTTTCAAAAAAATTCAGTTTTTGAAAAATGATAACTTAAAGGAATTAAGTCTCATTGTTGATATTTGAAATACAAACAGTTCTACTGAGTTGCTACACACACAAAAAAAATCAAGTCTGAGATTTTATTCGTTCCAATGGTAATACGCCTTCAAAAGTTGAAATTTTCCCGTTTTCTTATGAAATGTTGAGATGGGTTTATAACTGTTTTTGATAGGCCTACACATTTCAATAAATATGTAGGCCTACTGAACATAATATTTAGGCTGTTTCTTCCAGATTAAAATGCTTTTTGTTTCATCGCTCTAGTGTTCATGGTTACCGAGTTGTGCAAGTTAACGCAAACCCTTATATGAGCAAAAATTTGCGTGTTCCGCAAAACAAAAATGGCCGCCGTAGAAGTAACAAAAGAGATAAAAAAAAATTAAAATCACTTTTGAACCCAGAATTGATAGAGGTATCTAGGATAAAATTATTATTTATTTTTAAAATGGTCAAGCAACCAATTATTTTATTTCTGGATCACTTTGATATGGATTGACCCGATAGGCTATTAAGTTAAATAATGAAATGTTTACAATTAATTAAAAACAGAAATAAGAAAATCAATCATTCAATTTCTAAAACCGGCCAGGGGGTAAAATTCCAGGTGGTAAAAATCCGGCCCGTACATCTTTAACCCTCCGAGTGTCACGTGTTTTGGCCTTAATGTCAGCCTATTTTTTGCTCATTTGCAAGGTTTTATTAAAACTGATCTGAGAAGCTTAAAAACAATGTTAATTATACTGTTCTATATACCATTTTGTTTGGAAAATCTTGGGCTTCAATATTATATATAAAACATAAGGAAGATTTTTTTAAAAAAATTTTTTAGGTAAAAAAAAATGTATAATTTCGAAAATTAAAAAAAAAAATAAGTTTGCGCTCAATGAAATTGTATAAATTATAGGCCTATAAATATTTGAAAATAGCCACTTTGTTCTAAATTTTATGAGGATTACAAATATATAATAATATAAGGAAGTAGATTTGCAAATAAATAAGTTATGGGCAAAAAACAGATTTCAGTAGGCCTACATAGCGTTTAGCTAAGAATGCATAGCCCAACCATAGCTAGGAATCTGGCTGATAATTTACATCAATATCACTACCTACTTCTTCAGGATCATCAACCAGCACTTCAAAACCACTTAAATCTTCTTATAATGCACCACGTATATCACTACTTTTGATTTTTAACACTAAAACAATGATAAATGTAATAAAACACATCAGTCATCGGTCCGAGGGTAACCTAGCTGTTTACAAATACACGCACGTCAGCTCAGTCAGCTGTCTGCTACAATATTTTCGGAACTAAAATGAATAGTGCTTAGAGACAGACCTCTGGAGAAAGCTTAGAATATTACGGAAAGAACGATACCTAACTCAATCCAGTACAGTCCGATTCAGTTAGTCATAGAGCCTTCGCCGTAAACAGTTTTCGCGAGTCGCTGTAGCGACGCACGACACTATACAAAGTGCGTTACGCGTCGCTGCAGCGACGCATGACACTCGGAGGGTTAACTTAGTTGTCTAAACGCTAGTTATATGGACAGGGGGTAAAATTCCGGTTTTTATCGCTAATCTAATTAATCACGCTCTGGCTATTTTCATTAGACTTCCAAATCCGCGGGGGTAAAATTCCGGCCGCGAACAAACTTTTGGCCACTCAGGATCCTACGTCATAGTGACGTCAGCTTTGCCCAGGGGGTAAAATTCCAGCGACCCAAAGTAGGTAAATTAATTAGGTCTATGCTCTCTGGGTAACTTGGGTTAAAGGATAGCATACACGGTTATTTTATGTCAAGTAATCAAGTAATCAAGTACTTTATTGGTCATTAAATAGCCTAATCATTGATTACAATAGACCTCGTCAGAGACACATATATAAAACAATAGCGATACATTATCACAGTCACATTTTAGCATACAAAATAGAAAGGCTTGCATATCACAGACGCTACAATAAATAAATAGCTGTACAGTTAAATAGATAGAAAAAACATGCATAGAGTTATAAGATTATTATTAAGATTATTATAAGATTAGATTAGTTATAAGATGTCTAGGCCTAGGGCCTTACTTGGCCTAGAGGACTTAGGTAGGCCTAATGGGCCTAACAAAACAATAACTTAGGCCCAGAATTTGTGCAAGATACCGTATCTAAATTTGGGCATTTCAAAATAACCAAGTAAGTTAATTATTAACTAAGTAAAAACGACGAAAGTTAAATAAAATTGACTGTTGTAAGCTTAGGATTAGACTAAGTAAAAGTAAGTTATTATGACGATAGCCAATAGCTAAAGTGCTGCATCAGTAAAAACAAAAATGGCGGTTGGCGGGATTCTGAGATGAAGTAGGCCTTATGATTAATATAGGTCAACGGGTTTAATGTTTTCGAAACTAAATAATAGGGTTTGTTATGACCAGTAGCATACATCGACCAAAATTATGTAAACTAAAAATAGGTAAAAAATGAATATAACATAATAGCCTGAATTGAGTTACTGTGATCGTAAGGACGCCGAGCCGAGAGTCCACTAACTTGCATTACATTAGGTTACTTACCTCTTTCTTTGTAGGCTTTTTTCCTTTAACCATTGCACTGGATTAAATTTGGGACACTAATCGCTACTATGGGTACAGTTTCTAAATCCCGTTTCAAAAATAAGCCTAGTTAGGAATTAGGATCAGCAATTAACCGATAAACCGGTGAAATAAACGAATAGCCAACGATTCGATCCGACCGAATGAATAGCGATGATGGCAGTTGAGATCGAGATGCGGAAGAGATCGAGTACGCTACTAACAGTAACAGTGTGACCACTCAACTACAGACAAAAAATAATTTTCCCTGTCTGAAGCAGGAGATAATATATGCTACCATACAGCGATACCATTGATTAAAAGGTAGACTACTCCCTTTCGGCAACAACATTCGTGTCAAGTGATGGGATTTGTGCTCTTGAAGTTCCTTGGTGGTGCCTTTAGAGGGCCACACGCTCAACAGTGTTAAGTGATGAAATGTCTTGTTGTCAGCATACTATCAAAAAGTTTTTCTCCCTCCAGATCCATCCTTTTGTTATATAGTTTTGTTTTTATGTTACGTTAGCTTTTTCACAGTTTATTATATTGTTATCTATTGCCATAGTCTATTATTGTTATGTATAGTGAATTTATTAATGTTAATTATTTACAATGTTGTCATTTTGATGATACTGATTGTTATTGATGTTAATTATTCACACTTATTGTTATTGTAGTTAATTATTTACACTGTTTCTTGTTATTGTTATTGATGTTTATTATTCACACTGTTTCTTGTTATTGTTATTGATGTTAATTATTTACACTGTTTCTTATTATTGTTATTGATGTTAATTATTTACACTGTTTCTTGTTATTGTTATTGATGTTAATTATTTACACTGTTTCTTGTTATTGTTACTTTTTTCACAATGTTGTAACGGTTGTAATTTACTCAAACTGTCCACCACCACCACCAAACTTCTTACTCATTTATTGATGTTTTCTATTGTATTATCTTGTTGCATGTAAATCTTGTCAATGTATTATTTTGTAAAATAGCGATTGCCGTCGGAATGAATAAATAAAATAAATAAAATAAAACATTCATTGACTTCGTGTAGACTTCGGGCACTGCTAGTAGATCAATTATGAATCAATTTTTGGAATAAACAAATATTGCAAAAAAATTAAAATTGAATCAAATTATACTCATGTTTAAGAAAAATTACACATTATCAAAACTAATCATTAAGGGCAATATATACCTAACGCTTGAATAACATGTTTATTATCATTATTATTGGAAAAAATACATACTTTCTCATATATATATATATATATTATTACTTCATTCTATAATCTATTTTTCACTCTTATTTAGATTAGGCCTAAAATACGCATCTAGCTATTAGCATAACATGCCGATATTAGGAAAACTTATTTTAACCAAACATCCAAATGAAATATAACGGGAAAAAATGTGGGAAAAATTCCCATACACGGGAACACTGAATCCGAAGTTGATTTCAAACCGAGAAGAAAAGGAAGTGGGGGAGAAGAAGGAATCAGACATGATGAAAAATCTACTTTTAGCGGGAAAAACTATCAAATACTAAGGTTTGAATAATAAATAATGGTAAACTAACTATAAATAACACAGCAGTCTGGTTTATAAATAACAATTTAGCATATTTGAAATTTATAAGATTGTTTCACCCTTCTACTCGTAAATTGGTCATTCATGGTTCGTTTTAAATTTTATTAGGCTCAAAATAAATTACTTATTAAATTATTTGATTAATCTGTTAGCACGATTCATTTGATTTTGATGAAATTCGGTATAAACGTGTAAACCTGCATTTATTTGAACGAGTTCATTTTCATTTTTATTTTCCACGGCAATGCCATTTACAAAATAATTAGTTAAGATTATAATAAGATTATATAAATACAAAACATTAAATTACAACAAAACAACATTTCATCAGCAATCGAGTTGGCGAAGCAACATGATTGGAACGGGGTGTAATGGGGTAAAATTGGGTTTTACAACATTAATTTTGAAAATTTTATCCCGAAACCATTTTGTAGAGATGAAAACAAATAGTTTAGTACATTGAAGCATTGTTGTACGCCTAATAGTTATGGTGAAATCTACAAATTTTCAAAATTCCAGTGTTATCCTTATGGTTAATTAAGTATAGTAGCATTCTTGAGGATAATCTTTCGATCAAATTGGCCAGTTATTTATTTTATACTAAGCTATAGCTTACATTTCACTAAAAACACACACTATATTACCATTGACTATGAATCCTTAAGGATTCATAGTCAATGATATTACCTTCCCTGTTGCAACAGACCTAAGTAGTAATTTAAAATAGGTAATTATTACTTTATTTGTATATCTTCACCCTCTGTTTACACCATACAAAAACTTGTCGACTCCAATAGGCCTTGGATAGGTTGTGGACTCTGATTTTTAGGTACTCGTTTATAGTTGAGTTCATTTAAATTATTTTAATGGTATTCAGAAAAAATGAACACACCTAAATATTACTGGCCACAGCACCCGCCAAAACCAGTTTAGTATTTTTACAAGCACGAAAAGTCAAAACAGAGTATCCAAACTTGATGGATAAAGGGTTTTTATCAGCAAACTATCAAACAAACAATGTTGGATATTCACCATTAAACCACGCATCAATATTAATATTTACTAGCCAGTGCATCATTGAACACTAGTCCTCAACCGTACACGACTGTCTAAAAGCTTTTCCACCTATTTGTTATTGGCAATTCCAAATTCGTAATACCCTTTTCATTTTATCTTATTTATTTTATTTTATTTGAATCATTATTGGGTATCGTTGACTTTATGGAAAGTAAATTACAAATCTAAATATTGCGGGCCTGAAACACTCAAACAAGCTTTTTATCACCCAATCTGTATACAGGACTACTAGTATTGTATGTAGTTGGTAGGCCCAATTCATATAAATTGTTTGACGATTTCTCTATACTAACCAAAATATAAAAAAATGTTATAGTTGATCTTAAATATATATTTTATTTTTATAAAACACGAACCAATGTGGTACCTACTAACATAAATGAACATTCTACTTTCACTATAAAATTTGCCTTAAAATACCTAGCAAAAAAAGTTTGCATTAGAATTCCCTTTCGCCTCATAGAATTTGAGCAAATAGTTTCCATTGAAAACTCCATCAACTATGCTCAGCGCATTCTTTGGCCATTGGCCTTGCAGAGTGCCAACTGTCGCGTGGCTGGAATGTGCTGATCTTTGCTGAGCAACTCCTTACTCGGCCCAACTCCAACTGCCAGAGCCAGACGCAGACAGACAAAAGGAAGGGACGAGACGACTTATTAGTTCGTATAATGGCCGCTGCAGTCGTTTGGCAGCGGCAGCAGCACTGTATGGTGGTGGTGACGTCACACGCTTGGCGGTAGAACAACGGTGTCGGTTAGAAATGGCGGGAACATTTGTTTCTTATAGATATCCGCGTCACCTTCCCCTGCCCGCTGCCTTCTAAGTTATAGCACCCTAACCCAATTGGCTCTTTTCTATTATTTTGTCGAAGGGTTGTCAGAATGTTTTATGATTCATTATCAGAACACTGTTGAATTTATATTCCTGTGAGTTAAAAATAACGTGGTGCCCAAACTAAACGGTATTTTAAATTTGGCCCCCAGTTTACTAATTCTCCATAGTAAAAACATTAGAATTTTAAAATATTTTTTTTACATTTTCTCTTCTAAGCACATAAGCCTTTGTTTATTAGATAATACCACGAGCCATTATTTTATTCTGGAACCTAAATCTCACATTTTGGCATATTTTAACTAGTTAAAAAAATTAATCAAATAAATTAAGATCACCCACCTTTATTTAAAGCCACAATATGTTTTTTACACAAATCTAACTATGTGGAAAGAGTCCTTTGTAAAGGGATCAAACTGGTTCATTTAAAACCACTAACATTTACTTTCCTTTGTGGGTAGGCCTACAGTAACGAAGGCTTTGGTTGAGGGAGGACTTGTGGTTGCAAGCTTGTGGTTCGTGTGGTAAGACAGCTTGGTGGTAACGAACTACCAACTATAAGAATCAAAAGAATCTATTATATTACTAGCTGACCCGGCGAACTTCGTATCGCCTAAGTTATAGGTTTCCCCTAAGACAGACCGATGGAAAGAAAGTACCGTTACGTTTAATTTTCAAGATGATCTCGTTCGCATCGCTCAATCACGTCCTGGTTGAAGTTCGTTCGCTACGCTCACTCACCTTTGGGTTGGAGCTCGTTCGCTACGCTCACTCACCTTTAGGTTGGAGCTCGTTCGCTGCGCTCACTTGCCTCCAGGTTGAAGTTCGTTCGCTACGCTCACTCACCTTTTGGTTGCAAATTAGCTGTTGTCATAAATGTAAAAGAAATAATAGTGCTGCACCCTGTTGGTAATCCTTGTAACTTTAATGCTATTGAACATCATAGAACAGAACCAACTTGTTTAATTGAAACAGCTGATAAGATTCATTAATTCCATTTCTCATAAGGTTAACATGGGAAACTCCAGAGCCACTGGGGCGGAGCCCTTTTAAGAATTTCGAAACGGGAAATAGTTTACGTCCGATTCGCATACCTACAGAATTTACACACCAAATTTCATAACGATCGGTGAAGTCGTTCCGGAGGAGTTTGCAGACAAACACTGTGACACGAGAATTTTATATATTAGATTAAAGTGATACAATCAAATTTTATGTAAACGGTTAAGGTCATTTGCCCAATAAAAATATGGGCATATGGCACATCAAAATGAAGCTTAGAGTGTGTAGATTTGCCGAAAAGTATTGATATGGACAAATTTCCTAAGGGCTCTGCCCCAAAGGCTCATTTCCAAAGGGCTACGCCTGGCATGCTTCCAAAGAAATGATTTAATTTAGTTAATGAAACAGCTGGTCAGTACAATGAACTGGTGTTTGTTTATTTTCTCGAAAAAATATGTTTGTGACGCTATGTAGATTGAGGAGGGTTATGTTTGGTTTTAAAGAAAGGTTATTACGTTTTGTAAAGTATTGCTCAAAGTTTCATTTTGTAATTTATACAGTAAGCTACATGTAAAGAAGCTTGGCTAAAATTGAAGAATTATGATAAAAAATGTCATTCATGAAGCATCAATATGAAGCAATTGATGCTATTGCTACACTAAGGTATGT